GGAGCACCACTGCGCTGCTTTACTGTGAGATCCGTGCAATAATACAGAAATCAGAAGAGCTGTAATAATTGACATTGCCCTGTAAAGAAAGCTTACAGCGTTTATCCATCTTAAGGGATGAGCTGTCACTCACAGATGAATGTTACACTTTATGTCTTGTGCTGCATATATGAACACAAGGAAGTAGGTATTTTTATTAATTTGTAGAAACTTCCAGAGAAATGCAGCTATATTTTCAGCCTCCAAAGCCCTAGAATATGTCACTTAGGTCTTCGTCTACATACAGCTCTACAGAAAGGCTTTTCTGCAGAGTAAAAGGGAGCTGCAGGTGGAACGACTGCTGGAAATCAGCTTAAAAAATCAACAGCTTCTAATACCTGTGTTTGCCTCCAGTTAATACCATTAGTCATGTTCTCAAGTCATGACTGAAATGCACCCAGATACTATGGAGATGAGCATAAGAACCAATTGGAATATTCTAGATAAAACCTGATCCCCTAAATGACAATGTATCTGAATAATTTGGGATGCAACCAGCAAGAAAAGTTTCGGTGAATATCACGTTCCCGGCTCTCCTTTACATCCAAGCCTATTTCTATACTCTGTGATAGCATAAAGGAGACTTAATGTAAGCATTTAAATATAACTCATTTCTATTCAAAGTACTCTTCATCTTGCTGGAGTTTATGGGACTCAGACACAATTAAACCACCTATGTGAGCAAAGTTACTCAAATGTGGAAACGTATGCAAGATCAGGTCTTTCCAGATGACATTTCAAAAAAAACTGCTGATCTGGCACCAGAAAAATGGAACTGATGCTTTTAGAAGCAATTCTCTGTAGAGACACATTACTGACATTGCTTAAAAACCCTCTCACTTTGATTTTAAAGCTTTATTTCACTATTTCATGGGCTGTGGTGACTATTTCTAACACTGGCTTTTTTATGACTAGCATGTGTTTATCATTTTTGTATTTTCTTTTGGATTCTGTTTTTATCTTAAATAGTGAATCACTGCTTTATTAGGCCAACGAGTTTCCTTCTACAACTGATGGTAAAAACACTGGCCAGCGCTGGGAATTAAGATAAGTTTGAAATCTATTGCTTCTAACATTAAAAATACATATTTGAAACAGTTCTTTTCTGATTTCTGTGCTGGCAAGAGCTCCTATGACTTACAGAGTACAAGTATGGCTCTGGCTCAAGGCAAGGTGAAAAAGGTAATAGAAAACATTTAAGCAGATCTAGGTGCCTGTATACATCCACACAAAGGAAACATGCCAAACCTGCACAAACACTATGTTTGGAAGAGGGTAAAGGGATTTAAAAAAAAAAAAAAGGTCCCAGTATGAGCAAAACCAAGGGAGGAGTAACTACCTGAATCACAAAACAGAGTATCTAGCCTCAAAGATGCTAATTCAGGTCCTGAGGGATCTAATCAACCTCTTTGTTGAAGTAAAGATAAAACTTTTTGACAGCAAACGCTTTCTGATAAAATGGAATTTTCAATTACCCTGAGAAACATCTGGTCCATGCTGCTGCTCCCCGGGAAAAGCACTGCCACGCTCTGCACTGTTGGAAAACATTTCAGGCTGAGATTTCCCCACGATGCTGGGAGGAACACGTGTCAGGAGCTTCAAACCCCACGGCAAAGCTGCCGCGGCCGCCAGCATCACCCACTGCCGTCCCATGGAGGTGATGCCAGGGGTGCGTCTCCTGCCTGGCAGCACTGCGCACTTCACTCCCTGGCTGGAAATCCGATTTTCCTCCACTGCTGGACTTTCAGCCAAGGTTACACCAGGACCTGGAGAAATCCCACCCCATATTGCAGTGAAATAGGCCAAGATATGAAGGGGGAGCCCAAGATTTAGCCCTGTCTTCCAGCAGACTTCAGCCAAGCCAAAATGTAGCAGAGATCCAACAGACGCTTCAAGCTCTCCCTTCCTCAGACAAATCCATTTGGAGGTTCAGCTGAGGACGCTGTTAGCAAAGGAGCACATATAAACTTCTAGCAGTGCTTAACACCTCCACAAATAAACAAACAATTAAACAGGAGTGAGGTAATCATGAAAACTGGAGTGACACCCGGTGCCCACCTTCCTCAGCATCCCATTTGGTATCAATTAGCAGGGGAAGGAAAACAATTCTGGGTGATAATGAACTCCAAATTGGGTACATATTACAGCAATTAAAGCCATCTTTTCAGCTGATGAATTTGTAATCAATAATTAAGATCCTGAGGTAAAAAGGGACTGGGCAGAAGTCCTACTCCCAAAATAACTGATGTGGCTGAGCTCCAGGTGGTATTTCTTATGACCTGCTGCTGCCCACTAAAGCTCAACACTCTCTATGCTAGTTTGCCATTTTTTCTGGAAATGTAGGTCATTTCCAAAGGAAGAGCAAGGGCTCCTGCCAGCGGGACTGGCAGCTGGTGTCACTCCCATGCAAGGGCAGTGAAGGGGTGGACAGCCCCAAGGCCACCTGAGCATCTCCAGCAGGTCCCTGGGGCTCCCACGGCCACGTACGCACCACCAGTGCTGGGCTAGCACACTTGTTTAGGAACACTCAAGGAGCTTGGACCCATCCATGCCTGCCCCACGCCAACCTCTTTCTGTAGGAGATCCAGCATCTCCGTTGGCAAAGGCTGGCCACGCATCTCCCCGCTGGCCCCTTGGTCATTAATATCGACAAGCAAACCCTGGTGGCTCTCCCACCCCACATCTCTGGGACGACAGGAGATGCGGTTTGGGCAGGGATGGGGAGCAAAGGCAAAGCATGGGGCCATGGGCTGCCAGGCTGCCCTTTGGCCACGGACTGTGTGCTCGGGGCAGTGGTTAGCCCGCTGGTCCTGTAGCATTGAACTTGTGTTTCCTCCCGGCCCTGCCACTCCAACCAGAAATTGGGTAAAAATTACCATGCCAAAGCCGTCACTTTAATCATGCAGGAACCGCTGTTATCACCATCATCTCAGCATCTTGATTTTCCTGATTATTTTCTGCAGTCCCTGCTTGACAAATCAGCTCAGAAAATATTCTCTTTAACCTTTTTTCCAGCTTCTGTGACAGTATCTGCTAACCTCCCTGCCTGCGCTGCTCCTCTCATTGCTCCCCAAACGCCCCGATAATCTGAGTCCCCCCTGCTCCTCCACACGCAGCACTGGGGGTCCCACAGGACATGCAGCTGGCCCCCGGCACACATCCCTGCCTGCGGGTCCAGCTGGATGGCAATGCAGCCCTGGCTTGCCAGCTTCCTCACAAAAATAAACCAGAGCCAAGAGCACCAAGCCCTGGCCGTCACGGGACTGGGAGCCAGACACACAGGTTGCCTTTGGAAGTCACCTTCTGCAGATGCTGCTGATTTTCGGGGTGTATTTTATTTTACACGCAATGAGGAGTTGATGTTACAATGGATCGGACCGTATTTATTTCCATCTGACTGACAAGCTCTGCCTCCAACTCATCCTCTTTAACTTATTTGCATTGTTATCTGGTGCACAACAGAGCCAGCACGCAGACTTATCAGAAATGTAATCTCTGTAAAACCCTATCTGCAGTCCATTGAGATCGGGGTTTTTTGCCGAAGAAATGTGACAAAAAATTAACAGATGTTGCTCAGACCATTCAACAGGATGGGAATCAATTATGAACATTTTTGCTCCTACAGTCATCCCTTACTGCAAACGCATCTTAGGAAGCCCTCTCCTGATCGAAATTAAAAAGCATTTCTTTGTAATAGAAGAATAATAAATGATAGCTATCAGCCTGCATTCTCTGACACGGCGCCAGTCCGCGGAGAATTAAACTGCCACTGTACAGTTATATAAATGTTTAATTTTTTTCATCTTTGGCCACAGTAGGGTTGTCTGGAAATACATTATCGCTGCGGATGCCATCCCTCTCCAATTAGCGTGGCTGGCAGCGCAGAATGGGTAGGTGACCTCCGCATTCCCCTCCTCGCGGAGTCTTACAGGGTTAACTACGGCCATTTAACAGACTCTATCGAGAATTAATACAGCGATCAGCTTCTCTCCAGAAAAAAAAAAAATAAAAACCCACATTCGGTGGCACAGATGGCAAGAACTGTCTCTCCCCCGTTTGACTCTTTTATGACAGCAAAACAAAGGCTTTTAATGATGTTTACCGTGAATTGAATTAAACAGCTGAAGACCAGTTCATAATCACAGCATTTTGTTTTCATATCCTTAAGTCTTTTAGCAGTGGGGCTTCCAGTTGAGCCTCAGCTCCAGCTTATCTCAAGATATAGCCAAGCGCCCCGAGGCTCCCCTGCGCCCGAGCACCAAACCACATTCAGGCTTCTTAATTGAAAAAGACAGGATGTTTGCATAGGATGTTTGCATCCGTCAGACATTAAAAACGACATTCATGCCCAAGTACAAATGACGGCTTGGGCGCAGCTGAACTCCTCTGACGTCTCTCCTCCGGCTAACACGGGTCTGGTTTTGGAGCAGGACTTCATCCCTGCACGTGGGGATGCCTAACAGCTGAAACCCTGCTGCCTGTTCAGGGGAAAAGATACGAACCCTCTGCCCACTGGCCTGAGCTAATCCCGTGTGGGATGCCTGACTGATTGTCTACATGCTCTGCCAACCTTTTGGAAAGTTGCTGGGACGGCGCCTGCGCACAAGCTCCGGAGACGGAGAGCAGAGCACACGGGGCAGGGACCAGCCCCGGGCACGGCGCCGGTAATTCCTGCCCTAATCCCAACTCCACCGCCTGCTTGCTGTCAAGCAGATGCTCAGGGCCTTGGGTTTTCTGCTTGTGAAACAGAGGATAATCCTAACTGCTCGCTTACCTGACAGGCGTGGCGTGAAGATTAATGCCTATCTACCCAGCACTGACGATGTACAGCGCATTATCCCCAGCAAGCGCTAAGCATCCTTAGTGTGCACCCACTGAGGCAGCACCAGAGCCACCGGATGGGGCATGCGGGGGGCTTGGGGTTGGGTGGGCATCCCCCAGGGTACACGGCAGTGGCTCACCTTGCTCAGGGCCCTGGGAGCCCATGGAAGGGACGCTGGTGTTCAGCACGTCGTTGACAGCCGTGTCGCAGTAGAGACCCCGCTGCACGTCGTGCTCGCTGTCCGTCTGGTCGCTCTCCTCGTGGCCGCTGTCCTTCAGACTGTTCCCCTCCAAGTCCTTGAATGTGGAGCTGCTGGGGGACACACAGCCAGGACTTAACGGGTGGGACAAGGTGGCCCCCGCCACCCCGCAGCACTGCGGCAAGACCTGCGGTGGTGGCACAGCTGCCACCACTCAGCCTTGTGCCCCACAGGGATGGGAAGGTCCCCTGCTGTCCCCAGCACTCAGCAGCAGGGCTGGGACCACTCTCCCAGCATGGAGAACTGGGGCAGGGGCTGCGGGGGGGTACCTCTGCATCCCAAAACACAGCATCCAGCCCACACTGCCTCACAGGCTGCTTCTGCCCAAAATGGCCACGGGGGGAGCCTGTGGGTGAGGCTGCTGTGGGTATCAGAGAAGCTGAGAGTGAAGCAGGACTTGAAACCAAAAGTTAAAAAATATACATTAAATGAGCTGTTTCTATAACTAGGCTCCCTGAAGTTGTATTACCTGTTCTTGAAGTTACACAGGATCTAAAACCTGTTTTTCTAGGTTATAGGACAAATCTTAATGGCTTAAAGTTTGAAAACTAAAGTCTTCCTAGAAATGGGAATTTCTTTTCACAATGTCGATGCCATTCTTATTTTCTAAAATAACGCCATGATTCTGGGTCCAAGCTCATACAGCTTTAAGGAGATCTGATCAACAGCTGAACTCCGGCCTCCCCCTCCAAGTGCAGCCACTGCTGGGGGGACCTGAAGGCTGAGCTGTCCCCAAACCCCCCCTGAGGGCCGAGCAGCTCCATCACCCCACAGCACCCAGCTCCTGGGCTGGAGGGATGGACCAGTTTCATTTCTGGCTGCCTTGGGGACCTTCTGCTGCTCCCTGCCACCCTGCGAGTGGTGATGCCCCATGCCACCCACTTGCAGGGACATCCCGAGCTGCACCGGCCCCGGGTGGCAGGGCCATCAGCGCATCCCCAGGGTCACCCACCCTGCACCTCCTCCCACATCCATGGGAAATCTGCACCCAGCGGGGGGATCCACCTGCACCCCCGGCCCCAAACTTTCCAGCTGGCTGATCTGGTGTGAAACATCGGTGGAAGACACGGCCTGCGCTTCAAAGCCCCAAAGAGCTGGAGATTTTCATTACTTTGAAAAGCCCTTTTGCGTCTCCACGGAAACCAAGCAGACCACCTACCATCTGATGCTGTGCAAAAGCACGCAAGGGGGGAGCTCGGAAATACATATAAATTGGTAAACCTTCAAACATTACCTTTTAAATAAAGATGTCCCTGTTGAAGCCACTGACTTTGATTTCCAGGCGACATCAAAGAATTTTAAGTTAAGAAAGCACTACAAATCTACAATTCATTTGTGTGCGGGTAGATGAGCGGGAGAGGCAGGCAGACAACACAGGAAAAGTACAAATAGATTAATTAAAGTGCTGGATTTGAGGAGATTCACTCACCAAAGATAGAAGAGCTACAACATCTTCATAAAGGCAAAGGATGAAAATGATGCCACAGTGTGTTACAGAAAATATTTTTTGTTCTTAGATGTCTGCACAGCGTTCCCAGCACCCGTTGTACTTAAGATACAAGACAAAGGTAGAAAGCAAGGGGAAACGCTGTCCTACACGGAGCTGCTGTTCATAATGCGCAGGCAACCCATGTTACAAGGCATTTATCTTCCCCGCAGTGAACCAGACCGGAATGCAGCAGCCGCACGACACATTTCCGCGGCTGACACTTCTCTAAAGGATGGGCTGGTCTCAGGGAATCGGCAGCAGCAGCATTTCCCAAACAATACAGCCTCGGAGCAAGCCCCGCTGCGGCAGGCGGGAGCGCTGCTTGCCTTTATCTTAGGTGTGAACGAGGAAAGATTAATAGATTTGGGGTTTTTTTCAGTATGCCTGCAGACTCTCTGGCGAGGAGCGGCGTGGCGCAGGCAAACCATCTCTCTCGCAATTGCATTAGCATCGTTAAACATCACGAGCCACACCGGCAAATATACCTGCCCTTCGCTAGCTGAACCCCAGCTGCTTGAACAACGCGCTCGCAGCTCCCTTACTCCGTATATTTTTAAGATGTAAACAAATGGGATCTCAGCCAGGCAGATAATTGGATTTTTTTACTGCTCAGATCAGATCTCAACAGTCCGGGACTGGCTCCTGTTCTCCATTACACCCCTGCTACTGCGATGGCTTCTGCAGAGCCCCGGGGCACAACCCTGCCAGGCACGGGCATGGCCGTGGGCATGGGTACAGGTCACTTGTCACACAGCTCGGCTGGTCCCTGGGGAGAAGAGGGGAGATGAGCAAAGAGCTGCCGGCCACCTCCTGTGCCCGCATCGTGCGCAAGGAGATGTCCCCAGCCCTGTGCAGCCTCCTGATGAGTATCGATTGAGCTGTGTCGGGGTCTCTCTCTGCCTCAGAATCAGCCAAGGGGGGCAGAGGCAAGCCTGTCCCCCCAGGGAACTCACCTCTAGTTTAATGCAACCCAGTGGGGTTCAACCAGGTAACCCCAGCATTAACCTCCCCAACGCATTTCTTCGACACTGGTGAGCTCTAGGATAGCAGTGTTTCATCCAAAGGGTTAAATTCCCCCAGGGGTAATTGCCGGGTTGCAACTGAACTGATGATTTCCTTTTTACCCAGGGAAGAAAGAAGCCTGGCAAAGTGCTGTTTTGCCTGGGTGTTCACACTAAAACAGTGAGCATGCATCCAACCCAATTACCTGCCCCCAAATGAGCTTTTTTTTTTTTTTTCTTTTCCCCCGCCTCCCATGGCAGGGAGATCTCACCACTCAAATCTATCATTTTATTCCTGTGCATTCAAATAGAATAAACTCCATGAATTTGAAAGTTGTCAGGGTAACAGCACTCCACCTAACTCACTGCAACTTCCCAGCGCGAAGGAGCCAAAGAGAAGGAAAAAAGACTTGCCTTTACTGCAAATCAGGAGCAATGGGACTTAATGGGAAGTAAATACTGTTTTTAAAATCAAATGATTACTCTTGAAACATTTTGCATATTAAAAAAAAAAAAAGCCAGCAGTATATAACGCAGTAAGGAAGAACATTAAATAATCAGGATTTGCCTGGGCAAACCCAGGCACTTTCAAGCAAGCCTACGTACCTTTTTATTAAATGAGCTCTGCTGTTCACGTAGTTGGAATCGAAGGAGTAGTTTTCAGTCTGGAAGGAGGAAAAGAAAAGGGAGATGGTTACAAGTCTGATTTCCCCATGACTGGGAGCAGTCGGGTTTGCAGGGCCAGAACAAACGCCGCATCCCGGCACCGGACAGACCCCAGCGAGTGGGATGGGGCCGGGTGTGGAAACTCCAGTCCCTGTCAGTCTTTCCACCAGCTTTCACCAGGAAAAAAAAAAAAAAAAAAAAAAAAAAAAGGCTGGCTGGTGACCACAGAACAATTTGCAGAGAAGAAACAATGTGACTATGCTCTGTTACAAAACTAATTGCTTTTAATTCCCTGATGGACTCTGTTCTGTGTGTGTCAATTTGACTGAAAGTTCAAAAGGTATTTTTCTTATTAGTGTATAATTAACATGTTAAAATATTTATTGCATAGATATGTAAATGCCAGCAAGGTAATCCCCTGCCGGAGAATTTAATGCAGGCACTTTTCTTTGTTTTACATCATTTCATTTGCAGAGACAGTGGGCTCTGTTACTAATAAAAAAGCAAACAATGGGGTGACATGCTTAAAAGTTGGAGGGGAGTGAAAGCGGGGCGGAAAAGTCAATGGATTTGTCATTTGCAAGCAAAACCTGCTAACTCGCTCTGCACTCGAAACACTGCCTTTTAACCTCAGATTACAAAACCCTGGATTTCTGGTGCTCGCAGGAGGTAAGGAATGAAAAAAAAAAAGGCGACCAGAAGGTGGAGAAGAGAGCGGGGTGTTACCGCCCAGGAGGCCATGGTGGGAGCTGTGTGGTGGGACATGGTGGGATGCAGTGGGAGCTGCATGGTGGGAACTGGTGGGAGCTGTGCGGTGGGACGCGGTGGCTGTTGCACAATGGGATGTGTGGGAGATGCATGGTGGGAACTGGTGGGAGCTGTGCAGTGGGATGAGGTGGCAGCTGCATGGCAGGACATGGTAGGAACCGCATGATGAGTCCCAGTGGAAGCCACGTGATGGGACATGGCCTGGCCAGGATCATTCCTAGGCTTCAGGGACCCACAAGGATGCAGATCTCTGTACGAGTCAAGGACCCCAGTCCGTCTGTCCATCCACCCAAACCCCTCCCAGATCTGCAGCGATCCCACCTGGGCTCCCCAACCGCATCACCCAGGGGATGCACCCGGCCCCACCACACCCCCTGGGCAGCAGAAGGGTCAGTCTTGGCTCTGTCCCCCTTCCTCTGGGCTGACATCAGCATCCTCCCAGGATGGAGCAGGGACAGCCACCTGCTCCCGCAGCCCCATCCTGCCTCCTCTCTGCCGCGGCTCCTCCTCACCCCAGCCCCACAGCCACTCTCCTTCCCAAAGAGCCGCTCTGGGATACTATGGCCTGTTTTTATGGCAATTATGAACATGGTAAAAATAAATGCATGCATCTTTAATGGCTCAATAAATAAAGGAAAGCAAAGTCCGCTGCTAACGTAATCACAACGGCAGGATGCAGGGAGTGGGGCTGCTGCAGCAGAGCTGAATGTGAAATCCAATCGTACCCCGGCAGAGGTTACGCTGCTCTGCCAAGATAATAAAGCAAAGGCAGCGTTGGTTAAGTGTGACCTTTTCTGAAATACAGCACAATATCTAATTTACCAAACAGGAGCCTCCCAGAGAGAAACATGCAAGGAGCTGCGAGCCGGGGGAGTTGGCCCAGCACTCAGCACAGCTCGGTTATTACTTTCACATCGTAATTACTGCTGGAGAGTCACGCAGGAGATTTACTGCACAAACTACTGGTCCCTGCAGTTCCTGCATCCTCACTCCTGCAGAAGGACTTTGATGGTTAGAGCTCAGGAGCAAATGGACACATGTATTTTTAAAATACACGACACCAAAGACTTGAACAACACAGAAAATGCCTGATCCTGGGTTTATCCATCACTCCTGATGCTGCCATCCCAGCGGGAGGGATGCCACCCCACATCATGTCCCTCCAGCAGCCCTGCAAGACATCCCTGCCCCGCAAATGGGCTCTGAAGGCAGCCAAGCAATGGAAGGCAGGAGGGATTGGAGCCAGTTTCAGAGCAATCCCGGCTCAGCTGGCTCCATCCCTGCGTCCCCAGCCCTGCTGTGCCCAGCCACAGCATGAGACCCCCCCCGCATCCACCACTGCCTCCATGAGCTTCATCCCATGTGTATGCATCCCAGCTCTGGGAAAACTGGGAGAGGAACAGGTGGGTGGAAGGACCCAGAGAGCAAATTTCGATATATACAGGTACAAGCTTTAAACGCTCACAGCACCGATGCCACGCGCCCCAGGCTTCAGGGGCCAGGGAATACCCAGGGCCATCCACAGGGAACGCTCAACCCATGCCACCAGAACCCCACCGCAGGCTGAGGAAACCCCGCACGTGCTGCCATCACGTCTCCTGCCACAGCCCAGATACAGCCCTTGCGCTAAATCCCCCACTGACCAACACCACTGGGAGCTTTGCTATCGATTTCCGACCAAAAAAGAAGATCAAACCCTGGTCCAGCTGAAATCATTCACTGATGAGCAAATTCCCCATGATTTCCATTTGATGGATGGAGTACTTTCCTTCCCATGCAAAGTTCCTGATGTGCACGTGTCCCCCCCTGCTTGGGGGGACCACATCACTAATGCAACCTCTCAAGTCCTCCCGCAGGCGAGCGGGTCCCAGGCAGCCTCTGTTCCCAGGCTCCAATCCCCCCGCTGCCGAAAAGCAGCAGGACTAATGCTAATTACTTCCAGATTTCGGACAAAACAAGAAGTGACATGGCCACGAGGATGGGAAACACGCTTCCCCAGGCTGGGGGGCTGCACCCTCAGTGGGAGCTGCCTGCCCTGCCTGCACCAGCACGTTCCCACCAGTGGATGAGGCAGTCTCGCGTTCCCACCAGTGGACGAGGCAGTCTCGCATTTTATGAGACCTCTCCTCAGCCGTGGGATTATCCATCATGGTTATCTGCATGCAGGCTAGGGGATCAAAACAGAAAAATAAAAAAGAAATGAGATTTTTCATGGAGGAGGGCTGCTTTATAGCTCGCATTTAAAGTTCACTTGATTTAATTCTAGTTCATCCTGCGAAGTGCAACCACTTACAAACAGAGGCAAAACGACAGGGAAGGAGAGCATCTCCGACATGTCAACATTTTAATTGGGAAAGGATCCACTCCCTCTCTTAATGAGGCCCAAAGAACAAAGTGAACGCACAGAAAAGAGGGAAAGGTAAGGCTGGCTGGTGCCGATGAAAGTGCATTCTTCATAAAGTGCATCATCAAGAGGCCAGCCCACATCTTCTTCTTTATTTTGGCAGAAGCAAACAAACCATTTCTTTCTCACTGATCAGCATCGCTCCTGTAAAAATCAAAGGGGAGCCCAGCCCTGAGCCCAGACTCTCCTCTCCACGTCCAGAGCCAGTTACGGCAAGGACCTCTGGAGCAGTGCTGCCAATTCCTATCTCCTGCTCATCGTAACACAAACAAAGGATGCTCACGCTTGGAAGGATCAGACCCTCAGCCTCTGTGCCATGAATGAACAATCTATGCAAGATATCAGAAAGCGCCGAACAACACCTAGCACAGAGCCTGTGGTCTCAGCCTGCATTTCTGCTAGAGGAGAGGAACCCTGCTGCCCTCCGGGCTCGGGGTTTGCAGGCGTGTTGGTGTCAATGCCATCGAAGAGAGAGCCCTGGCTCGGCACACAGCTTACCAGTGCCTAATTTGAAAAATGCTTTTATTTAACTGCTGCCTTAGCAACACAAATATAAATATAACAACAGACACACTTGGAATCGAGCAATCAGCAGGGAAATTTAAAGCTTTTGTTTTTTTCCCCAGCGGTTGCTTTTGGTTGAGGCCTGACAATTCCATTAAATTAAAAAAAAGGATGTACAAATGTCAGTACGACTCTTCTTGACCTGGACATCGAGGGGGGGGAGTGAATTCCCCATTAGCAAACGGCCCGTTAGCAATGGGGCGCTGCTCTAACGCTGCTCACTCTCTGCCTCAGAACCAGAAACAAACCCCGCAGAATCCAAAGATGGTTTAAGGGGAATTAATGCAAGTGCCAGCTGAAAGGTCAGCGGGCTGAGGCGACTCCAGGCACAACGATCGCTGTGGACTGATGGAGAAACAGAGGATGCTGGCTGGGGTCGGTCCCTGGGGCGTGGGGACATGTCCTGGGCCAGCCCAGCCCAGCCGTGTCCCTGCAGCCTGCCCGTCTGAGCACAGACACCCAGGATCTGGCTCTTCCTGAAACACTTCTCAGCTGTTTCAAGTGGGTTTGTTTTTTTTTTCATACTGAACTCCGTGGAGGTGAAAATCCAGCTTTCCCCACTGTGTCTTGATGGAGGGATGCTCCGCAGTGATGGAGGCTCCTCGAGACGACAGAGGCTCCCCGGGCTGCACGCCAGCCCCCAGCAAAGTCTGTGGTTGTCGAAGCTGGCCCCATCTCTCCCGACCCAAAGTGACAGGTATCCGTCCCTCCGCCAGCCTCCGCCTCGGAAGGCAACTCTAAAGCATCTCAGCGCGGGTTTTTTTGCCCTTCTTCTCACTTCAGGGTGAAAACATTTCTATCTCTCTACAGATTACTGTAAACCTGCTGCAACCTCCTGCCAAAGCATGTAGGGACCCTTCACAAAATCAGCTTCATAAAAATGACACATTTAGCACCACTTTTTCAGGGTTATCCCTTGAGCCTTTTCTTCTTCCCCGACATGCCTTGTTAATAAAGCTTGCATGTCACCCTTTATTATTAAAAAACAAAGAGGACCTTTCTCCAAGGCTGCAACGTGCATCTCTCCTTTTGGGTTGCAGACAATCCTCCCAAAACACGCAACGGCTCCTCATCTTCTGCATCAAGCTGCACACCTTCACCAGGAGCACCGGTCTCCTGACCTTCCCTCCATGCTGCAGGCACCATCAGGGACCACAGAAACAGCAAGTTGTTCCCAAAAATCCACAGGGCCTCCTTGGTGGGAAGGGGAGGGCTTGTAAGACCACTTCTCCTGGTCCTCCTGTATCCTCAGTCTTGTTCTCC